ATATACTTTTATTATTATACCTTTTTTATTATAATTATTATTATTAAATAAAAAAGTCCTGTGAACATAATAATAGTAGTATTTATAATAATCTATGGTTTAGCGTTTTAAAATGAAGAAATTAAGACAGTCATAAATATTAATATTGTGATTTGTCAGTTGCAGTGTAAAATAAAATTATATTATTTTTCTAAAATTAAAAAAAAATATATATTATTATTAAATGTTAAAAAAAGTTGTTAATTTTAGTAATTAATAATTGAGTCAAAGTTAACTAATTTATAAGAATCCATGCAATAATAAACGTGTGTATATAAGATTTTTAAAAAATACTTTTTTTTAAATTATATACTTTTAGTAATAATTATACTTTTTATTATTAGTATTATTAATAGTATTATTAAATAAATAAAAAAGTTCTGTGAACATCTGAGTAATGATTCAATCAAATCATTGATTCATTGACATGATATTTATGAATAATCAGTTCAGACTGTCCAACTCTTTCGGAGTTTAATTCGGACACTATTAAAACATCTGGTTTAATGTGATTTTAGGTACAGGTCCAGGCCTTCTGGAAGCAGTTCCTCGTCGCGCTCCAGTTCACGCTCGTCTTCTCGTTCTCCTCCTCGCAAGCGTGGACGCCGCTGCTCCAGATCGTTACGCCGCTCTCGTTCGGGTTCGCGCTCGCCTGAGCCGGACTGGAGATGGACGAGGTTAGTGTGAACGCAGCAGAACAGTGCGATTCTTCTGGTGTTGATTGTGAGTCTAAACCAGTCGCTGTTCTCAGTCGCAGAGAGAAGGAGCTAAACCGCCGACACGAAGAGGCTCGTAAACTCCGCCAGCAGAAAGCCATCGTAGGTGGACAAGCGTTATATTGGACCGTGTGTGTTTGTGTTTGTGTCTGATGATGGGTTTGATCCTCAGGAGGAGCGGAGGGTGGTGTATGTGGGAGGAATCCGTGGAAGCATGTCGCCGTCGGATCTCAAAGATCGATTCTCGCTGTTCGGGAAGGTGGAGGATTGCACAGTCCATCTCAGGAGTCACGGGTGAGATTTACACAGACAAACCAGCAAATCAAATCAATAAAATAACATACAATTATTATTGTTATATATTTCTTAAATACTCGATTTTTTATTTTACAGTAAAATATTACAATTATGATTAATACGATATATTAATGATATTACGAGATATTACGATTAATATTTTATTATTTTTATTTAGTTGTAGTTTGAGTAATTTTTATGTTTTCATTTAGTAATAGTAGTAATAATGATGGTTTAATGTTTTAAAATGAAGAAATTAAGACAGCCATAAATATTAATAATGTAATTTTACTGTTGTAGTGTGAAATATCTTTTTTTCTTAAATACTCAATTTTTTGTATTTTACAGTGAAATATTACAAGATTAATATTTAGTAATTTAGTAGTAGTTTGAGTAATTTTTATGTTTTTAAATGGTAGCAGTAATAATAAAAAAAAATATTTTACAGTAAAATATTACAAAATTAGTATTTATTATTTTTATTTAGTAATTTAGTAGTAGTTTTTATTGAGTAATTTTTATGTTTTCATTTAATAATAGTAGTAATAATGATGGTTTAATGTTTTAAAATGAAGAAATTAAGACAGCCATAAATATTAATAATGTAATTTCACTGTTGTAGTGTGAAATATCTTTTTTTTTCTTAAATACTCGATTTTTTATTTTACAGTAAAATATTACAATTACGATTAATACGATATATTAACGATATTACGATATTACGATTAATATTTTATTATTTTTATTTAGTAGTAGTTTGAGTAATTTTTATGTTTTCATTTAGTAACAGTAGTAATAATGATGGTTTAATGTTTTAAAATGAAGAAATTAAGACATCTGTAAATATTAATAATGTAATTTTACTGTTGTAGTGTGAAATATCTTTTTCTGAAATACTTGATTTTTTTATTTTATAGCGAAATATTACAGCAAGGCAAGTTTATTTATATAGCACACTTCATACACAAAGGTTATTGAAAGTGCTTTACATAAAAAAGGAATTAAATAATCATAAAATAATTACAAGAAATAAAAATAGATAAAAATGATTTTAAAAAATGTATTTACATTAATAATAAAGAGGATACATAAATGAAATACAGTAGTAATATTTATTTTGTTTTCATTTAGTAATTTCTGTTTTTATTTAGTAGTATTAATCATATTCGATTCTTTATTTCGTAAAATATTATTTTTATTTAGTCATTTAGTTGTAGTTTGAGTAATTTTTATGTTTTCATTTAGTAGTAGTAGTAATAATAGTAATAATGATGGTTTAATGTTTTAAAATGAAGAAATTAAGCCATAAATATTAATAATGTAATTTTACAGTTGTAGTGTAAAAAAATTATATTTTTCTGAAATACTTGATTTTTTTATTTTATAGCGAAATATTACAGCAAGGCAAGTTTATTTATATAGCACACTTCATACACAAAGGTTATTGAAAGTGCTTTACATAAAAAAGGAATTAAATAATCATAAAATAATTACAAGAAATAAAAATAGATAAAAATGATTTTAAAAAATGTATTTACATTAATAATAAAGAGGATACATAAATGAAATACAGTAGTAATATTTATTTTGTTTTCATTTAGTAATTTCTGTTTTTATTTAGTAGTATTAATCATATTCGATTCTTTATTTCGTAAAATAAACATCCATAAATATTAATAATGTAATTTTACTGTTGTAGTGTAAAATATATATTTTTCTTAAATACTCGATTTTTTATTTTACAGTCAAATATTACAATAGTAATATTTCTTATTTTTATTTTTTATGTTTTCATTCAGTAGTTGTACTAATACTAAATAATGTAATTAATTTTGTTGCATCACTGTCTGTAAACAAGTGTTTGAGCCTCATGGTTTAACGTTTGACAGCTGTAATGTAAAATAAAATTGTTATTAAAACACTATTTTTCTCAAAAACAAATTTTTTATTGTTTATATTATTTTTTTATTATTATTATTTTATATTACAATATAAAAAGAAATTGTTTTTATTTTGTATTTTTTTATTTTATTTAGTAGTAATAATAATAATCAGTGGTTTAACGTTTTAAAATGAAGAAATTAAGACCGACATAAATATTACATTTTTATTTTCATTTTTTTAATTTAATAAAATTTTATTGTAATTTTTACAGATGTAATGTAAAATAAAGTTTTCTTAATTTTTATTTTACAGTGAAATATTACAATATTCATATTTCTTATTTTTTATTTAATAATAATAATAATTACCACTGATGGTTTAACGTTTGACAGCTGTAATGTAAAATAAAATTGTTATTA